GATGTTACTGACTGACACACTTCACATTGGTACTAATAACCTCAGTTGTTTAAATTGGTCATTCCTAGACACCTATTGTGTATTTTGCCATATTTGTCATAGCCTAGGAGCTGGGTTATGGCAAGTTGATCAGAAGTTACTATATTTATTTGAAAACTATTTAGAGAATCACCTTGGATGACTGACAGCCTAACACTGACAGTGACATTGCCCTCAGGGTTTTCAGCAACGCATTCATAGATGCTCTCATCACGTGGCGCTCGGAGTGGCTGGATTCTGAGTACGGAGCCGGCACCTTCATCAAACTCAATGACCTGTAGGATAGAGAGTCATAAGGTTAGGTTAGAAGGATGTGTGGATACTAATAGCAATATGAATAATAGTTTAGAATTTTAGCTAGTGTAGGTAGTGTTTGTTTTTATTAGTTGTTTTTTTTTTGCCTTTATGTTTATATTTAAATGAGCCCTTTATATCTACAGAAGAAGCTCTTTCACCTGCCATGTTGAACCGTCACGTTTCTACAGTGGCCCAGAATGGACAAACCAGGCACTGGCTTTTACTTAAATAAAATTGTTACCCTCTGACCGACTGTGCTCACTGTTTTAAAATACCACTGTTTACTGCTCTCCCCCGACGTAAAAGAACCTTTTAATCGTTATCTTAATTTTAATCTTGGTAGTTTTAAGAGGTCCTAGGTGGCGTTGTCGGCCCCCGCGTTTTAATGTGATCCACCCCTTGCACGGCCTTTAGTACAGTGACAATAAAGTTGCCCTCCTCTCCATGAGAGTGCAGCAGTGCTCACTGACCTACCTCAAAACGCTGGGAGCTGATCTTCATGCCTTTCTTCATCCAGCTAACCCTCGGCTTGGGGTTCCCCATCGCCTGGCACACAAATGAGATCACGCCCCCTGAGACACCAATCTGATTGACAGGAGCTTTAGTGAACTGTGGGAGTGCTAGTACAGACAGAGAGAGGGAGAAAGACATTATCACACACAAAGCCCAAACTTGTCTTGACTTTCTTGCCTGTTGTTGAGTTGATTTCCCACATCTTTTAAATCTGACAGTGACATTGATTTCACCAATGTACCGATCCAAGTCCAGCCTTTCTATTTTTGTGTTCATTGAGCAGAAGATTCACCGAAACAATGTTTCACTGAAGCTTGTATGAGAAAGTTAAAGAGGTAAACAAAGTACTAAGGACAACAGTGATTTGTATGAAGTACATCGGTGTGTTGCTGCTTTGACTGAAGAATGATTGAAGTGGTTCAGTGTATAATTTTGTTGTATAATTAAAAAGGAGAGAATGGGTTGTCTCCAGGAATTTAACTGGTTTAGAGCGGCAAGGTGTGGGGTTGTTGTTCCCGCTAAAGAACACGGATACAGATGTCCTGTTTGGTTGATTTATTTGGCTGTGGTCTGTAATAATACAAAATAATAATCGGTACAGACAGTATAATGTTAATCTCACTTTATGGCATTTACACACAGCAATAAACCAGGGAGATAGAGGTGAATGTTGAGAAAAGGCGAAGGAGATTACAGTATATCCGCCGGAGAACAGCACACGTGTGGTGCATTCAATAGCGTCGGAACGGCTATGATACGTTCAAGAACGTGGGACATATAGAAACTTACAGAGAACAGGCTATTACTGAATGGCAACTTAGCCTTCAATAACAATTTACAATACATTGACAATGTGGGCTTTCTAACAATAATGCTAGTTTCAAAAAGGATTGTTGTTGTTAAATTAAATTATTAATCCCCATAGGAAAATTAATTCTAGCCATTTGTCTGTACAGAGGACAGATAAAGAGCACTGTCATGTGGTGCACCTGAGGCTCAGCAAAACCAATGAGCTTGTGGTGGACTACAAGAGAAACATCCTGGTTATCCAAGGAGTTGAAGTGAAGAGAGTGCGCTAATCAATAAAAAACAGAACTTTTACAAAATTTACTCAACTGACCTTGTTATGCGTTGCTGTTCGAGTCCTGATGTATGTCTGTTAGTATGTCAGTGAGACATACACACAAACGCACAGACAGAGTGGGCTTGCTGCAGCTGAGACCACAGTTTGCAAACAGGAAGTTATTCTTATGTAACTGAGAATTACACAGGCCTTTGAGCAGTGGTGGAATTAAAGTACGTAAAAAAAACACCAGAAAAGGTTTCAGCTTGTTTCAGCATCGTAGATTAATGTCAGTCAGTTGTACATTTTATATTATATTTAATGATAGATTCTGCTAAAGAACAGTTTTGAGGTACTTGTACTTTCCATTTTATGCCACTTATGTGTTCTTTACCTCACTATATTTATTTTACAGTTATACTTCAGTTATAGTTACTTTTCTGAAAAATATTTTACATAACTACAATATAAAATACATTTAGAAAATATGCATTGACATAGATGAAACAAACCAGGATTCTGCAAATATGTTTAATTAGTTAAAACCTGCTACTCATCAGTTACAATCCATAATACTATGTTATAGGCTAAATGATAATATATTCAACCATGGGGCCATACAATGTGGTGAGTAGTTTTAATTTTATTCCTCTAATAATAAACCTAATATAAGAAGTTTTTTTGCAAGGAGTTATGAAACAGTCTCAATTTAATACTGATGCCTTTATATGACCTACATAAAACCATCATTGAGAAAATTGGCTTTTTCTATAAAGTTATTCTTAATGCCTTCCACCAGGTATATTTTGGTGGGATTCCCCTTGAAATCATTAAAACAGGGTGGGGGACTTTACCGCCATTGTCCCTGCCCCTGACTAAAAAACTGTTCAAGTTTAGCTACTGAAGTATATTTCTTCTGTAAAACACTCTGTGTTTAAGTCAATTCAACCTCATCCAGACATTGCAAAGTGTTTTTTTTTTTCAAATCAGCCGGATTTCATTTTTAAATTCTAGTAAAGTTTCTTAAGTTTCCGAAGATAACACGTAATGTGTTATGATGTGTTTTTTGGAAATGTGTATGAAATAATGAAAGAAGATTCAGACTATTTGATGTTTAATGAACAAATGAATATGAAATATTTTTCTGGGTTTGAAAATTGTTGGAAACAAAAACAAAAATGAAACGGAGGTCTAGCACTTTTGGACATGTTAATGCAGAAATTTTACATAATAAAGGAACTTTCAGGAATTATGCAAAAACAATTGTTAAACTTTAGTTATTGAATAATTTATAATTATGATTGAGATTAAGATTCCACATTAACTTTATTAAGTGAGTTTGCCCCCCTCTTTTTTAGGTACAGTAATCGAGTGAGAGTGAAGTAAATAGCATCTTTCAGATTTTTGGTTTACTCATAATCATTAATTTTATGTACTCATATATTTTATGTATCTGCTATTTGTATCCCGGTTTCAATTTCAGTTTTGAAAAAAACAGCTGAATTTACTGTCATGTGTAAATTGTACCACCGAAAGCCATCACTTAAAATACACCAGAGAACGCGTTCAGATTGTTTCAGCGTCATAGATCTATGGCAGCCAATTGAAGATCAAAGTAAAGAAAATATATGTTATACACCTACTTAATTATATTAAGACCATTTATGTGTCATGGTTCTTTTATGAATTTGGTTCCAATGTGCATCAGTGATAAGCTGTAAAATACATAAATATGATGTTAGACCTTATTTTTTTTAAAACTTCATCCTACAGGTTCATAAGATGTGTAAAATTAAACAAATTAAACATCTCACCATGAGAGACTCCGAGTATCATCAGCAACAGTCCAATTACAGCCTCCATGTCTCCTCGGTGTTCAGCCTCAGTTGAGTCAGTCAGCAGTTCTCAGTAGAGAGACAAACCTCCATACTTTATTTATAATCTAACATGCACATCTTACACCAAGCTGCCGGAAATGTTTTCTCTTAGTGATCAGCTTCAGATAAGAATGTGTGAAAACTCTTACCAGAGCAGTGTAAAGATAGCAGTTATCAGACTTAAGAGGAAACACAGGTCATGTGGTCAGGACTTATTGCTGACACTAAAAGTCAGTATATCCAAGTAACTCAAAGAGTGAAACAAGTAAACTCTTAATTCAAATTGAAGTCTACTACAAAGATTTTGCGAATCAGAAAGTGTTTTAGATTTGTGCAAGATCAAAAACTGAAACAAGTTTACTGAGGATGCTTTTGGTCCTCAGACCATCATCAGGTAATATTTTGTTCCTGTGACGGTCCCCTGAGTGGTTCTAATGTTTCCTCTTCCTTTTTTTAAGGCAGCAGGTACTTGAGGGATGGACCAATCGGTATAGCCAGAAACACCTGGGCCTGTGTTTCCCGGCTATAAAAGCCCCTCCTCTCTGGCTCACTCTCTCTCTCTCTCGCTATCTTACTATAATTGCTGGTGTTTGTTTTCTTTACGTTTCAACATCCAACATTTACTTTTCATTATACATTACCTTCATGCATTACACACTTTCACTACTGACGTTACTGACAAACACATCATCTTCTACTTAGTTCTTTTGCTGGTTGCATTTATGTTTTTATGTTCAAATAAATTACTTATAATTTGTCATTCAACTGCATCTCCTCGTTTTTGTCCCGGTTCCCCAGACCCAGGATTCTTCACAAATATGGAAACCTGTATGAAGTCACTTTAACGCAGTGGCCGTCATCAATATCATCATCATCATCAGGGCTCATGTTATATTTATCAGTTTTAATACTGAACTGCTTCAAACTGTCAAACCTGAGACGACATCCTCAGACATCACAGTAATGCTTCCTATGTTATTCACAACCTGGTAAAGTAAACACAATATGCCGACTGGTCATATCAGTTCCTCATTCATGTTGGGGACATTACGATGTTCATGTTTCAGGTTCCACTTTAATACTTAAACTACTACTACTACTAACTGACTGAGCAAAACAATGTTCTGTCATCAAAATAGAATTTGAACAATTGTTCAACATCTCGGCTTCTCATGTGTATAATAGTATGCAGTGTTTCCTGTGAAGGTAAGCAACGCGTCCCTGCAATAAAGTGCCGTTACAATGTCATAAAGGGTATTTTTTACTTTAAAGCAAATTTAAGCAACCCTGTATGTGAAAAAATCATAGTTCACTGGAGAAGAATATGAGATGACATTTTAAATGACATTTTCAAATGCACATATAATGTTTTCATTCCCAACTCTTAGAAGAACCTTTACTTATCAAAGGGATTGTATTTCTGGTGTAACAGCATGTTTTTATTCTTACTGAGATTATGATTCCATGTTAACTTTATAACTGAGTTTGCAGTCCTCCGTTTTACGTACAGTGAGTGATAAAATAGATTTTGAGCTTTTGGGCCTTTGAATTTCTTGGTTACAATTGCATACATAAATAGTGGTTAAACACAAGCCAATCAATTCATACACCAAAGATATTTAATTGTATTTAATTTATTTAGGTATCTTGTATAAATTTGGTTCCAGTGTGCATCAGTGTTTGATCTGTAAAACACACCACTGAAGATGATGCCAGACCAGTGCCGCCCGGTGCAGTAGCTATTATTTAGCAAATGCTGAAGGGCGCCGTCCATCCAGGGGGCGCCACGATGGGCAAAGAAAATAACAATAACTAAGAGTGCAACTTTCAATTTTTCTGGTACTAAAACACTATATTATTTCTTATTATGTATTAAATATCCTTACATTTAATTTTACTGCGCATACATAAGCTGATTAATATATTATATATACACTTTATTAAGCCCCCCCTCTCCTCTGACGGATAGACTCTTACCTGCTCTCCTACAGATGTTTACTTTCTGACGTGAGACCGTTTCACGGAGAGAACCATTTTAATCATACTGTCCCTATTTGACGACCAATAACGTCTTCCGGGTGCCCAAGGGAAGGAAAAGGAATAAATTGGAAGAGGGAGGAAAACGCCGACCAAAGAACAGGTACAGTAAAAGAGTAATGTGAGGAAATTTGATTTGTCTGTTTGCAGAACGATATAACCTTTGCTAAATCAATAAATATGCGTTGGCGCACTTAAGCGTCAGTTCGATGTTATGGATGGGGCTAACACCCTTATGGAAAAAAAGTACTCCCACCTAATATTTTCTCAGGGACATTTTGTATAAGATTGAGAGGTCTGGAGTCAGCAAGGTGTTTACAATTGTTTGCTACGTTTTTTATTTTTATTTAATTATTTTGGTTATGTCTATACGGTTGCTCTTGCTTGTTACAATGCCAGTCAAATGCTATTCGTTTTACACACCTTAAAAATTGGGGGAGAGTTGTAAGCCTTGTTGTTTGTGTCTACAGTTTCTAGGATTGGCTAGGAAAGTGTGTTTATAGTGGGTTAAACTTTACATCCATGTTAAAGGCACATCGATGTGAATTGAAGGATCATTCCGATATGCGTTGAGTTGAAGTATACATTGCAGTTGATCTGGCTTCGTTCTGCGTTGCTGCTTAATTCAGCATTTCTACTGTAATTTTGATGACAATAAGTATATCATATCTGAATTAATGTTTGCATATTCGATAAAACAATGCACTGTATACCAGTTTCATTGTACAGTACGTGAAAGCTATAGCATCTCTTAGGTTTCATTTTTATTATTCAATTTTAATTCTTGGAACATTTGTCTTTTAGTTAATTAGACTTGTAACACCAACTCTTCCTGTTTTACATGTGCGGCTGCTGAAAGATAGCTTCTCCAAGCTCAAACTCATTAAGCCTTGCCGTTGAGATTCTACTATTGACTGCAAGAATGTTCTCCAGTGACTTTCCATCTAAGCATTCAATCATTGTGGTCTCAAATCAGGTCATTATGATGATTGTTTGTTGCGATGACTTTTGCTTGCAAAAACACATAGGAGAGTACAATGTAGCAGTTGATTGTGAGGATACTAGTGTGGTGTAAGTTTATATATTTTATTTTATCACTTGTTTACAGTTGTTTATGTTGGTAGGATAAAGTTGCTAAAGTGTTTATTATTCTTGTTGGGCTATTTATATTTAACATTTTTCTTGTACTATTCTTATTCGAAGGTTTTATTAATTATTCTGTGGTTGATTGAGCAACTTGTGGGACTCTAAAGTAAGGCTTTAATAAATTGTTCATATAACAAGCTATTCAGTTTCCTTCGCTATGTAGTAGTACCATTATTTTTTTATGATAAACTGGCAGTGGAAATTAATCGATGCAAGGGGGTTGCCACCTACAATCTTGCCTAGGGCGCCAAATTGGTTAGGGCCAGGCCTGTGCCAGACTATAAAATATGTCAGATTAAACAAGTTAAACAGCTCACCATGAGTAGCATCAGCAACAGTCCAATCACAGCTTCCATGTCTCCTCAGTGTTTTGATCCAGTCAGCAACTTCCAGACAAACCTTTGTACTTAAAAGCAAACATGCACATCCTACACTGAGAAAATGTGTCCTGAAAAGTGATCAACTTCAGAGAGGAGAGGAGAAAAATTAAGCAATGTTAGTTTTACTTCCCTTTTAGCCCAGAAGGAGAGAGACACAATGGTAGGATGGACTGACTGGAAGAGATGAAAACATACCTTCATACTAAAAGAGGATTTGAAACTGACAGCTGATATTGTCCATGTTCCAACATTCATAAAAAATTACACCATAGCAGATCATTATTATAGAGCATGTTGGACACAATTATTTACACACAGAGATGTTGGTTACAAAAAACAAAATTTCAGAGAAATGTTTATTACATTTTGTGTGTTCAGTTCAACAATTAAGCTGGAAAGTAGGTTAAACAGTTATAATATTAGAAAATAAATTGTCTGAAAAATAAACATTATGATCCACTATACAAAGCTAAATCAATGTAGTGAGCATGCATTTTTTTGAGAGATTTTGACTAATTGATAATAATTAATAATACTAATGATTGTAGTCTTATATTTTTACATGTCAGATACATTGGTAAACAGCACGATACAGCTTCAGACTTTATTAATGACTTTGTTATTTGTTGCCTTTAGTACCTTTCTACTCTTTTGGTTTGTCCTCTCTCTTTCTCTTTCTCTCTCTCCCATAACATACAAAGATGAGCAACATTATGACATGATGATAATAATACTGATTATCTGGTTATCATGACATCTGTCAGTGGGTGGGATATATTATGCAGCAAGTTGATGTGTTAGAAGCAGGAAAAATGGGCAGCATGAGCATATGAGCGACTCTGACAAGGTCCAAATTGTGATGGCTAGACGACTGTGTCAGAGCATCTCCAAAACTGCAGCTCTTGTGGGGTTTCCCGGTCCTGTCAGTTGGTCGAGTACCCTATCAAAGAGGTGGTCCAAAGAAGGGAAAAGAGGTGAAACTTGGAGACAGGGTCATGGGTGGCCAAGGCTCACTGATGTACGTGGGGAGTGAAGGCTGGCAGTGTGGTCCAATCCAACATACGAGCTACCTTAGTTAGTTTCTGAAAGAATAAATGGATTATTAAAAGACATGACTAACTAAACAGCCACATTTTATACTCAGTATCTAATGAGGAAAACCACAAGTAAAGCCTCTTAATGCAGTAATAACTATGATTAATTTTTATTGATCATTATTTTTCCTTAAATGTTTCTCAACAAACAGTTTCATTGAATACAGGATGATTCATAAACAACAGTAACTCCTCTGTAAACCAGTAGAGGGAAACCTCACACCTACTAATACTGATGATGAGTGCGTAGGTTTCATTTAATTCAACAGTCATTATAGGTAAAGTTCATTGTCAAAATATCAACAAAAAGGTATAAACTGACGGATAACACATGATTGATTGATTGACTGAATCGTACATATTTACATAGTTAGTATAATTACAATTTGTGATTCAATACACAATGCTAAAGCTTTTCTTTGGCTGCAAAATCACTTCTTTTTTTTAAATACAGAGCTACTTGAAAAAAAAGAAGATAAATAGAAGATGAAAATAATTTACTTCCAAAGATAATTTTCTCTACTAGGAAAATTATTCCTGTTTTCAGTTTTGTGACAATACATTTTTCAGATAATCCAGTGTGATTTCAAATGTCTGATTTACGTGAAGAAGTGGGGAAATGGAACATGTGAGGGAACGTTTATTTAATCCTTCAATTTATCTAAAAAATGTAGATGTAATTTGGAGACACATTGTTTTTAATGGGCAGCAATGTGGAAATCTAGAGTATAATAATTTCCAAATAGCATCAAAATGAGTTGCACTATTAATATAACAATATAGGCGTTATTCATAATATGATATTTGACTTCAGTAAATCTGTAAATATGTCGAGGTTACTCTGACCCACTTTCACCAAGTCAGCAACTAATAAAGTGAAAAGAGTTACACAGCTCAACTTGACGTAAGTGTAGAAAACACTCACAGACCTTTTTATGATAAAGTATTCATAGTGAGCTGCTAAGAAGTGAATGTGAGAAAAAAAGAGAATTTCTACTCAGTAATTTCTGTGAAAGTAGAGTTCATTCACACTTTCATTAGTACCACAGGTCATCTCTGCTGGAGGAAGCTTAAATGGTGTGTGCAATTTGACTTTTATGGATTGATGTCACTCTCCTTACCCGCAAAAAAATTATTGGATTGCAGTAAAGGCTGATGTTGGCTCAATGCACTGGCTGTTACTGGATACACGCACACTCTGTGATATGTGCATCCCGTTG